TATTTATTTATTTGTAAGTTAACATTAAAATTAATTTTAAAGCTAATTAAGAATAGCGAACTGGACTCTGTTTTTATATAATTATAACTAAATTTTATTTAATATATCTTTGGGTAAACACTGGTGTCGTTGGTTGGGTTGTTGTAGCAGTGTATGAGTTAGCTCGTGGTAAGAATATATCCACATTTTAGGCATCTTGGTTGTACATCCCTTTAAAGCGAAATATATAGGATTATTTCGAATACAAGACTCCGTTAAGATTATAACGAAATGAGAAAGTCTTAAAGTTTTTCAATTTAATTTTCTCGTGAATTATACTTCGTCAAAGTAAAGTAAAATTAAACTATAAAAGCATGCTTTGGTCCCGCTTTAAATTCATGATAAACGTTTGTGAAAAAAGTGCAATAGTGTGTAGTAAATGCATCATAATATATGAAAAGAGTGGACTTATATAGTTATCTAGGTTTGAATTCGCTTATAGGTTATAATATATGCGAGCGAGAAAGAAACTTAATTTAAAAAATTTGAAAAATCTTAAGTGGCATTAGTGAATATAGATGCAATTAATCAACATTTACACTAATTAATTAATTAATTAACTAACTAATTAAGTAATTAAATTTCAATTAGTTTGTGGAATATTGTTTATAATGAACTTTATACAAATCGTATTACGGGAGTTAAAAAAATGCATATAAAAAACTGAAGCACTTAAAGAAAAAATATTCACTTGTCATTACGTAGCAAATGACATTAAAAAAATAAATCGGCCAATATTCATATGATAATCATAAAAATTTTTCTATACAACAGATAGTTGCGTCCATAATGTCATTTTTATTTCTTTACTGAATTTTATTCAATTATTTCTAAATGAGTTTTGCCAAATGAGTTGATGTCCTGTCAGTAACACGACACCATCACATCGCATTCATTAAAGCATTCACACATTTTCATTCACTTTTAAAGATCACTCATACGCACTGTTCACTATTTTCATATATATGTTATCTAGGCGTGTATACATGTAGGGTGTGTGTATATATTAAAACACCAATAAGTGGAAAAAATATGAAAATAAGGACACTACGATGAATGTAGTGACATGTGCCAAGTTATGATATGAATGTTGAATTTGTTGAAATATCAGATGATTTAACCGACATCAATACGACGTAAAAAGCAATATATTTTATTTTTGTTGCTGTAATAAAATCTAATCTAACATTAAGAAAAGAAGAAAAAAAAACTTAAGTTTACTTAGTTTATAGCTCTATTATTTAATGCGTTTAATCACAATCACAATAAAATGACATTATAAATCATTTCTTTTCATAATTCATTTAAAAATTTTATTTAAATTTTATTTTTAATTTTATTTTGATTTTATTTTTAGTTTCATCTAATTTTAATTTTCTTAATATTATTACGATTTTACGTACGTTTATTATATTCATATATTAATAAAATTTTATTTATATTTTTTATTTTATTTAAATTTTACAGTTATATCATTTTTATTTAACTTTATTTTATTTTTATTTTATTTTATTTTATTTTTATTTTATTTTTATTTTTATTTATTTTTTTTTTATTTCAATTCAATTATATTTATGTATAATTCAAATATTTATTTTGTTTTTCTTTGATTTGAACTTTACTTTTATTGCTATTTGGTTTTAATTTTTATTTTATTTTTTTTGTTTGATTAATATATCATATTTATTTAATATTTATTATACATTATTTTTTATTTTATTTTATATCTATTGCATTTCTTTATTTTTACATAATTCTTATTTTTTTCAATTGATTTTTTATTATTTTTTATTTTTTTATATTACTGTTTTTTATTATTAGCATTTTTGTATTTTTATTATATTATTTTTTGCGTTATTTTATTTTATTTTTGTTTTATTCTTATTCTATTATTATCTTAATTTACTTTGGTTTATTATACTATATTCATAATTTCAAATATTATTTTCATTTTATTATATTTATTTTATTATTATTTTTATCATATTCGTAATTAGTTCAAACTTTATTGCTATGTATTTTTTAATTATGTTTTAGTCTTATTTTTTATTTTTAATATTTGTTTAATATATTTTTTTTTGATTCGTGCTTTATATTATTAAATGTTTATTATATTTCATTTCTTATTTTATTTTTATATTATTTCTATTGCATTAGTTTTTTATAATTTTTATTTTGTTCATTTAATTTTATATTAGTTTCATTTCAATAATTAATAATATCAATAACACCAATAATTTTGTTTTTAATTTATTTTATATATTTATTTTTTTTATCATGTTTTTAATAATTTTATTTTTATTTAATTTAATTTATATTGTTATTTGTTTTATTTTTATTAATTTGGTCGTCGTATATAATTTCATTTATGTTTTTACTTTTGATTCTCTCTTATTCTATTTTTATTAAATTTATGTTTCGTTCAAATTTTATTATTTTTTATTTTTAAATTATATTTGTTTAACTTTCAATTTATTTTTTAATCTATTTATTTTTATTTTGTTTGTTTTTATTTAAATTTTATTTTCATTTTATTTAGTGTTTATTTCATTTTTATTTTTCATTTTTACTTATTTCATTTTTATTTAATATTTATTCATTTTTATTAATATTTATTTATATTTTCAGATTTAATTTCCGTTTTATTTTATATTTAATTAATTCACTTTTAGTTCATATTTTTTTTTATATTTAATATATATTTATTTTACATTTATCTTATTGTTAATGTTTTTAATTCGTTTTTATTTCATTTGAATTTTATTTTTATTTGATTATTTTTTTTTAATTTTTGCTTTTTATTTATGTTTCATTTTTATTTATTATTTATTTAATTTTATTTTATTTCTACTGTAATTTTATTTTATTATATTTGTTTATTTCATATTTTATTATATTTTTTTAAATTTTTTTTTTTTATGTTATATTTTTTTTATATTATACTCTTTTATAGTGTTATTTCATATTTATTTTATTATTTTTATATTATTTTTATGGTATTCTATATTATTTTATTTATTTAATTTGTATTAGTTTATTTATATTTTCAGATTTTATTTCTCTTTTATTTTCTTCTTAATTAATTCCTTTTTAATTAAAATTTTGTTTTTTTATTTTTAAAATAAAATATTTGTTTATGTATATCATATTTTTTTATATTATATTTTTTTATACTATATTCTTTTTAATAGTGTAATTTTTTGTTCATTTTTTATTTTTATATTCTTTTTATGATATTTTTTGTTATTTAATTTTTGATTTCTATTCATTATTCATTATATTAAAAAATTGTGAACAAATTATAATAAAACAAAAAAATAAATATCCTCAAAAATAAAAATAAAATGGAAATAAAAAGAAAATAAATTATTAATTATAATTACAATTCCATATAATATAAATAACTTCAATTATAAATTATTATTATATATATAAAATGTTTGTATAAAATTTATTTTATTTTTATTTTTGATTGTATTTATTTTTGTTTTATTATAATTTAAACTTTTTTAATTTAATAAATAGTCCCATATATTGAAACTAAATTTATTTATAAATAAATCATATAAATAAATCAGAAGATTCCACGTTTTAATTGTTTTTGATTTTTTTTTTAGTTCTATCAGGATTCCAGTGGTCTGTCAGTTGCAGGATCGCCATGTAATGATGACAGGATCATCATCTAATAATGTAATTTATTATTACATCATCATCAAAAAGAAAGGTTTCGACATAACAAAGATTAAGTATTAATCTGAGCTCTTCAGCCGCCTTCAAGTATTTTTTAAGCTCTTCAGCCGCCTTTAAGTTATTTCCAGCAAATATGCCACATATAACTATCCTTTAGAAATCCTGCCAGTCGATACATTATTACATTATTAGATGATGATCCTGTCATCATTACAATATATATATAATTATAATTTATAATTGAAATTATTTTTGTTATATGTAATTGTAATTATAATTAATAATTTATTTTGTTTTTATTTCCATTTTATTTTTATTTCTGAGGCTATATATGTTTTTGTTTTATTATAATTTGTTCAAATTTTTTTAATGAATAGTCTCATATTTTGAGACTAAATTTATTTATAAATATATTTATATATATATATAATTATAATTTATAATTGAAATTATTTATGTTATATATAATTGTAATTATAATTTATAATTTATTTTGTTCTTATTTTTATTTTTGATTGTATTTATTTTTTGTTTTATTATAATTTGTTTAAATTTTTTTAATATAAGAATTATACTTGTGATGTAAGACCAAATTTATTTTTAAATAAATTTATATGTCTAATATATATGTATAATTATAATTTATAAATAAATTTTTAAAGTTTGAAGTTTGCTTAAGTATATATAAGGACCAAAATTGTTATAATATGATAAATGCCTCTAGTGAACGTCATAAGATTAATTAATAAAATCATTAAGATCTTGAAAATATTTTAGAGTTGAAAGATATTGTACCGTCATTAATCGGTTTAACAAAAGATACAATTATGAAATATCTTGTACAAAAGATAAATAATTTGGTTAAATAAATTTTGGAACTACGTAAACGAGTAAATAGAAAACGCTTACGTACTTTTTGTGCACATAATGGGAGGTTGCCAAAATATTTATATTTACTTTTTAATAAATTAAATATATCAACAATACAACATTTTTATTTCTGACATTTCTGATATTTGTTAAGCAGTTTCTTGAATTTTTTTTCGGCTTTTTGACCTCAGAGAAGTGTTATTTTCTTACAAATGTATTTCGGCAATACGGTATGGCAATAACGAAGAAAAGTGGTTTGTCTCGAAAGCATTAATGATTATCAATAATTCGTCTTTATCTTAATAATTCTAACGGTCTAATCAGGTATTAATTATTGATCGGCTTTTGTACTTAAATGGTGGGTTTATTATTGCATCGGATATTGAATTTCAAAAACTCACTTTGTGTCTTGACCAGGAATCCTTGGGTCCTTTATTTTTTATTTAGTTCAGTTTTGTATAGAAAGTTGCTGTGTACTTGCAACTGAGAACTTTTGCATTGACTTGTTAAGTGGCGCGGGAGGCGAAAAATTCTATCTGATTAGATTGAGATAATTTACTTAACAATCGCTTTTATCACTGCAATTACGATTAATGAAATAAACTTTTATCAAAAAAAAATTTATATTTTTTATTTGTCTGTTTTTATTTTTGCACGTGTATTTATTCTTTTCGGGTTACGAATTTTTGCCCGTCATTAAGAGGTTTCGTTTTCTAATCAGTTAAACATTTTTTCGCGTTTTCGAAAAACATGTTCATCTTCAGTTTTCAGTTTTCGAGTTACAGTTTTCGGTTTTCAGTTTTCGAGTTTCCGATTTTCAGTTTTCAGCGTCTTCAGTTCGACCCACACTTGCCGCTGGTTTATTTTGAACTGACTTTGTTTTTAAACAATTTAATCATTTTGAGTTTTATTTTGCTTAACTTTTTTCTTGTTCAGTTTGCTTTTGATTTTTTAGCATTGTTAAGAGCACAAAGGTGAAGATCTGTGAGTAGCGGAAAAAAACTGAATGAAAAACGTAAGCCAGAAACATGTCGGACTGCCTGAGTGTAATTAAGTCTGTTACCAGAAGAGAGAGACATTGATACAATAGCAGAGACGCCGGCGTTGGCCGCTAATCAAATTCCCAACGTTGCGAAACTCTAAACTGATCTAGTGGAGTGTGCGTCGAGTCAGTAATAGGTGAAGCACTTTCCTTGGGGGCTCCCACTGATGCATTGAAAGAAATGGTCCAAAAATCTCAAGGTTTTTCTGCTGTTTTGTTGTTGCTATAAACGTTCTAATCGTTTTGGGGGTTTCCTTAATGTGCTGTAGTGGATCATACGTCATCTCATTACACAGTGCGCAATCAAGAAACTTAATTTTGTTAAATTTAATTAATAAGTGTTACTAATGCTTGTTTATGTTTTTGTATAATATTTGCAAATTTGAATTTCAATCAATTTTCGTCGGATTTAGACTTTAATTAGCAACAAACAAAAAATGGCACGAACATTTAATTTATGCTAATTTAAGCATAAAATAAATACGAAAAATTATTAACACTATTTGAACGCTTAAGAATTCAAATTGATTTTGATCCATTTCTCCGTAAATAAGATAAAACAAGGCTACTCCAAAGATAATCTAAACACACATCACATACATGTATGTAAAATGCAGACAAGGCTAGTTAAAAGATAATCAAAACATACATTACATATATGTATGTAAAATGTTAACAAAATTAGTAATTTATTAATAAAAAATAAATTATAATTCCGCGTCATATAATTTCGCACTGCCCCTATACTGGGCATAGGTTATCTACAAGTAATTTTCAATGCAAAGCTGCTGTAGTTATTTCTCTTAGACCCATTTCTCTTTATGTTAATTTCGTTTAGTTTGGACCTTCATCAAGTTATTTTTAGACGGCCTATTCGTGGTTTGCGTAGTATGTGTCCTATACAGGCATATAAGTATTTAAATTCACCCACACTCGTCCTTGACTACATGTCCTCATTAAAAATGTAGATTGGTCAGAAAATTCTAAGAATTTTGTGAGGACAGCGGTTAATAAAGCTGCTTAACTTGTCCAGAGACGAACCGCGTTTCGTATACATAGAGAAGCACTCACAAAACGCAAGAATTCAATATCGTAACATTTTTTTTGATACTGTAAAAATTTGACAACCATGTCTTATTCAATTTAGTAAATACGCTAATTACTTTCTTTATTCTTTATTCTTATATATATATAGCTTGCCGATACAATATTTCACAATGAAAGGAACAACAACCCGGAAGTGATCCTTATATCTCAATTTTATATATTGTTGATGGAGGAAAGGACATCTCGCAACAATTAATAGATTGATAGAGTTATGGGCTTCAATTTAAAACAACTGAAACCACCTCTTACGAATCAGTTGAGAAGATTTCAACTATTAAACTGTAAAAGACTTCCGCCTGAAATCGCATTCTAGTAAACAGAGCAGTGAAACATAATAGACTTGGTATTTGAATTTCAAAATTCATCAACTTCTTAAGCAAGTTTTGTTTTATATCCACTCGAAACACCTTCTTCGAAGGGATCATTCCAGCTTCGGGAAAATAAAAATAAAAAGGACCACATTAGTGAACCACATTTGTTGAATTCGAAGGGAAAAGGATTAAATAAAAAAATATTTTTGATACTTTTTTGTAGTTTCCTAAATTTTTGTGTTATGTACTATGTTGTCAATGGTTGAGGGTCTTCTAACCTTCCTCTCCTCTTCATCACACCACTGTGAAGAAGATGTTCGAATTAATACTTCATAATGAAATGTTTTTTTTGTTTGAAAATATTACTAGAAATAAACTAGAAATAGTTTTAAAGTAAATAAGTGATATTTGTTGAAGAAATGCATATAGAAATAAATATCATTAGATTCAGCATCATTTATTTTAAATTTACTGATTTTGCAAAATCTTTATGGTGTTATTATAATAATAATTGAGCATTCTTGAAAGCATTCTTAGGAATTAGATGGTTAATCTAATATTTTGCTGGTAATGGTATGAATGTTTGTATTTGCAGGCACTTTTTTGCAGAAATTCTCTGATTCTTTCCCGATTTGAACTTGGTGTTAAAGGTCCGACATTACCAAATGAATGCCACTATTTTTTCTTCTTCATGTTTTCGAATTAATACCATTTGACGTCACCCTTCATAATTCGATACGAAAATTTCGTGGTTTTGAACTATTTTTTTTCGTAACCTTGTAAAAGCATTTCACAAGTGACTTCGCGAGTTGTCATTCTTTTCATTCTTGTGACACATTTAATGCTATTGCCAATTACCATAGAATTTGAGTTAAGCTATCATCCTACAACTCCTGCAATTACTCGTCTTCGTATATTTTTACTAGTGCGCTGACTGTTATTCAAAAAAAAACTTGCCAGAAATGTGACCAACATGCTGCACGAGCATATTAATCTCATCCTGGGGTTCTTCCATAAATGGAAAATAAAAATTAACAACACAGGCAACATCCACCGAGAGTAAGAATTGGTGACATCGTGATTGGTGACATCGTGAAGTCGCTCAAAGTCAGGCTCTCCGAAGACTCTTCAAAGTGCCTTGGTACATCCGCACAAACGACATGCTAAGAGATCTTAGAATAGACCCGATCAAAAAATATATAAAGGACAGAGCCCTGAAGTTATATGCGAAAATTGACAGGCTATCCTACTTACCACTATCTTATCTTAGAGTAATTAGTCTCCGCACGGGGAGGTACGCAGATCTTAGATCAATCACTGAATAGTCATGAAGCTTATGAGAGATATACAAATTAGTCAATGAGATGGGTGGGACCCTGTAGTACCCCCAGCTAGCAAAGAGTAAAAAAAAAGGATCAATCGATGGGGCGTTTTTACCATATGACTTTACCAGAAAGGTATGACTTAACTGCATTTTTCTCTTAATTGAATAATGTTCTTGAATAATGCAAATGTTCTTTTTCAGGCACAAATCACTGAACGGTTAACCAAAGACGCTATTTCTTAACGAACTCAACTTGTGTATGCTTGTAGTTTAATATCAAACGAACGAAATAACGACCGACGTTTTAATCCGGTAGCACGGGGGTCAGTGCCCGCAACTTCGGCTGAGGTCAGCAGTGTCGTGGTGGTTGTGGTTAATATCCAAACTTACACGGAAAGAATGATTGTATTTCACTTGTATTCTGGGTGCTGTGACCCAAAGATTAGCAGAGGTTTGATAGACCTTGATCCTTACCAAGGGAGAAATTATGCGAAATACATAACTTTAATTGGTGCCGGCAAAAATTCTTTGTAAATTTCAATGAAGCGTTTATCGCGCATTACCTTTATATGTGTGTTTTTTTAGGACTCCATGCTCTTGGATCTTTAAGGCAGATAACCATGGAAGACAACACCGGATTATGGCGCCATCTATTAATTAAACCGGAAAAACAGCGTATGCATACGTATTTACAGAAATTCTTGCACTATTAAGGTAAAGCCTCAAAGTTAATATAAAATAGTCAAAATAGTAATTTTAAAAATAGCTAATGTATAGACACTGAGTTACAGATCGCTTTCAACAACGTTCACATAGTAATACGGTAACTTTCAATTTTTGCAAATTCCATATATAGTACATTTTTTCTTATTAGATGTTTATGATTTTTTATGGAAATATTTGATTATTTAATCAATAACTATACGTTGTTGTAATCATTATAGTAATGACTTGTATGAAAATTATGATATAGTATTAGTTAATATCGTCCAAGCTTCGTTGTAGCTTAGTATAATATTTATTCTTATACTCGTACTATCTCTCGGGTTATTAAATGAAAAAATCAAATATTAATTTTTTTTGGAAGAATATGTATAATACGGGGTAGAAGATGTCGGAGACTACACAAATCATTCATACTATTAAACAATACTACAAGCGATTGAGTTTGATTATTTTGTTCTTAGATGGATAAACAGAAAATGTTGATCTTATTATTGTCAGTTCTTTAACAATAGTTCTCAGCTTATGAGCCAAGCAGTAGGTGCGTTCTGCAGGGTCTTTTCGTGAATCGACACAAATCTGGCCAAGAAATCAATTTAGTTGTCTTAATCATGCTATCGAAGACTATTGAAGACTATCGAAAATTAGTTTATATTTTTAAATATATTTGTGCCTTAGAGCTTACTGTAATATATTAATAATTAATTATTATTATAATTATTATTAATCTGTGCAACTGAATTGAATCTTAAAACAATTGAAACGTAGGAAAACCAAAAGCCAGCTTTTTCTTCAAATTTCGAAATGTGTAATTTTCTATTTATTTTCATTATTTCTTATTTTTATTTTATAGATATATGTTAAGTACAAACCATAATAATATAAACTATTATATTCTATTTGGAAGCCCTATAACGTTTTGAAAGTGAATTAATGAGAAAAATATTTTTAATTATTTCGCTTAGCAAAATATCCGGGAAAAATTTATATGAAAATAAATTTTTTTTTATATATAGTATAACGAACCGGTCGTAATTTGTTTGTTAAATAGCAAAGTTAATGAAAATATGTTAACTAAAGTTTTGACAATGACTTAAATGACACTTATATTAATAACTGAAATGATCAAAACAGTATATAATGAAATCATAGTTCTATAATAAATATCAATACTTTAGTATCATGAGAAAAAATTATCTGACATAAATAATTTGTATGGCGGTTTAACAGTCAATCAATCAGATGTTTTCTAAGGAATGTGCATTATCTTTATAAAATGATTATTTGAAAAATAAAAGATAGACGGACAGACAGACGGACATGGCTAGATAAAAACGTACCATCGAGACCACATAGAACTATATACTCATATATAGTATCCGGCCGG